TCATTCAATATTTGAAAAACTCAGGCATACCAGCAACTCATGATGTTTAAACCAGCGATTTCAGTTTTACCGTTTCGCTTGTGATGTAGCCGCATCAGCCCACGTAACTCGCATCTATCGTACACAATATGGACCGACTGTCATATGCTTATTTACAAGAACAGCCGCATGATCGTCGAAACCGATTGCCCTTGAGGTCCGTCCTTGTCAATAGCGTGCCACAGCAGCATTTTCTGTGATTAATCACCGAAAGTTTCAGACACATGACGTCAAGTGAGTTTTTGGGTCATCTGCTAGCCAACTGTCCAATAGGAACGCTTAATTTTGGCAGTTTCCAGCTGGCTTATTGACACAGGCCGAGTCGAGCGAGTTCTGGTCGAATGTGAAACCAGTCGTTCAGCACAACTATGTGGTTATTCAACGGCGTCGTTCCAGTTCTGCTGATCCTTAGCTGCGAGTTGGTCAGCGCTTTGCAGTTCGAAAAATCAAAGCTTCAGCACTTCTTCCGTCACAACGCGTCGCCATGCTACCAGCGCAAACCGGGTCGCCCAACTCCGAGTTTCAAGTAGGTTCCGAACGAACGTTCGTTTCGAACCTTTCTGGCCTTGTTCCATCATTTCGTTCTTTGCAGAAGTCGCCAGCGAGTCTTTGAACGCCCATTCGACGCCGATCGACTGCCAACATCATGGAACTGGTGCGACATCGCCGGTATCAACTTCTGCAGTCCAACCAGAAACCAGCACATCCCTCAGTGTAAGCAGTCATCGTTTTACAAACTTTAAACGCTGAAGAATATGCCGCGTTGTGCTTATTCTCGTAATCTATGGCTGATACAGCATGAACAGAAGTTATCAGGATTCACGGTGTCTGACCGTAAGAAATCACAAGCGACATTTCGAATTATTATGACGTGTTTGTGCCATCCTTAGATGTACAAATTAGATGAGTTGGGCCTTAAAGTTGTTGATTGCAATTTACCGGGACGATGACTGTTTACTTGCTCAAGTGCTAAGACTGTCATCCGTTTATCTTATCCGTTATGTACGTCACTGGGCCTCAGATACCGGTATACTGTGGGCCCTGTGTACATTCTGGCAAGTTTTGTGCCTAGCAGCGGCGATAGCCAAAATGACCCAGTCTTGGACGTTGTTCTGCGTGAGGTGATACCGTTATAGCATGATCGAAATTGGCTATTGAAGAGAGGCACTCATGCTGCTCTATATATTGCCTCAGAGTTGTGTTAATCACTCGACAGAATGAAGTATATGAGCTTGAACCCCGTAGATTATCAGACTGTTCTGAATACTATGCAATATAGTATATATTTAAATCGGAATATAAGTTCAATACTGTACTGTATTTTTACCATAACATACTGTTAGGCCCGATGATGCTAAAGTGTGTGCAGTGAAACGCGTTGGCATTAAACTGTTTGCTATCTGCTGTATTTGTAGCCCTGAACCATGAACCATTTAAACAACTATGTATATAATCTATGAGCCCAGAATCAGAAACATGAAGAATTATTTATATTGCCTTTTATTTGGTGTCCAGAATTGTCGTGTTCTTGAGCTATCGATGACGGAAGAAATTTGAAATGATCACAGCACTAGTACGAGGAATGAGGAGGAAAATGATTAGAAACATGCAATTTCCATTTGTAGAATCCTACTTTAAACGCAGAGCCTATTTTGTGACGTCAGTCTCAATTTCGTTCCTTTTAGAGAAAAGATGTGGTGGTCATCATAATCTAAGGCTGGCGCAACTTGAACAGCTGAGCAGCCCAGATTTATGATGTACAACTGTTAGAAATGGTGTTTCAGATTATAATATTAAGTGACGGCTCTACAACTACAATGGACATGTTCCTCGTGAACAGCTGGCAACGAGATGTTGCTAGATATTGTCTTTTTGTCCAACACCTCTGCATTGAGAAATTGATTCCTTCGCTAAAAATGTTTTCAAAACGTTCATTTTCTAAACCAAGCTGAGGTAGGTCTTTGAGTTCGTCTTGTAGATTCCTCAGACAGGACGCCAACTCGTTTCTCACCTGTTCATTTTGATGTTACTACGCAAACAACGATGCCCAAAGCTTCTGGGAGAAGCTTCTTAGCGTTTGAGTACAGTATATGTTTCCAGACTCATAATGTGCATTAGCATCATGAATATAACCGCATTCAAGATGATGATCGTCATCGTTGTTTTCATAATCTGATCTTATCTTTCGTTATGTCATGCAACTTCCTGGAATTCATTGATTCCAATTTAGTGCATCAGATCACTTAACAATTATTACCAACATCATTAACTAACACTGCTGTGAAGTATTGGAAATGGTCCGCCTCCTTTATCGTTGCGCCATTCATTAGTATAACTTTTGGTTGACAATCTCGGCCTGAGTTCTCATGATTTTGGACCTCTCTCAACGTTCACTTGTAAACCCACTACAGCGCTGTTTCACATGCCTAGAGAGAGTGACACTAGAGAGCTCGGGGTGGCACCTAGCAGTGCGATATAATCTGTATGCTCAACGGGTCTGCTGGAGATGCAGCTGGGTACCTTGAACTGCGTGGGTGACTGAGTATGAGTCTTCACTGTTCTTTTTGGGACGACGTTCTTCCGTATAACGTAGCCTGCTATGTCGCTAAACAGCGCAGCAAACAGCCTTTGTTAAAGAATTTCGCTGGTGATGGCAAACCAGCCCCACAATGATGCTTTGGCCGCAACAGAGCATATAGCACTTTCCTGTAGACCTTCTATTAGACTTACCGTCATTTTTGAATAGCCCAGTGACGCGTCGCTACGACTAGTTGTCTGACAATTATCTCCATGGAAGACAGCCAATCTGGAAATGCCACGTGACATAGCAGCTAAAACCTCATGCAACTCTCGGTTTCAACCTGACGATGTTGTGTTGCATTTGCGTCGGCCATGATGGCATACTTCATTTGTTCGCAACCAAGGATCGAAGGAGTGAAGAATTCCTCATTCACACATGTGGCAAAGCTTACACGTGTACAGAAAGAAACTTCTAGAAGATATAGTATATCACACTGTTGTAGTATTAAAACCCATAAACCACAATAAAAAACAATCAATTAAAGAAATCATTCCCTGAATCTAATATAAGATTCACTGAGACTTCTTAATGAATGAAATGACCTCCCATAAGAGAATGAAGGGTGCTTTGCTTCAAAAAATAAGCTGGACGAGAAAAATGTTTTTTATTCTCTTTCAAGATACAGATGACCACTTACCATATCTTCAATTTGAATTTTAACGGAATATGCTTTCGTAATGACCCTTGCCTTATAGTTGCAAAGTGACCCTTCAGCATTTTCTTAATCAATGTTTCGTTAATGGATCGCTTTTTGGTTCATCACAGGCTTGGCGTTGTGGCGGTTTGTGAGAATGTGCGCTTCAGTGTTTTTTGAGCGTTAGGGTTTACTTTCTGCTGATTATCACTCTGGATAGTGAGCCATCGGGTCAGTCAGGGCGAACTGCGTCTGTAGGAGGCACTCGCATTACACTGTATGGTCATACCTCTAGCCTATTCTCGTATGAGCACCATGTTGTCCTCACTCTTAGCGACTTGCTACTCACATCTCTGCTGGTTTCACCGGTGGGGTGAATTACTTGTCCCAATGAATTAGCGATTAAGACGATTTTTACCTCTTTACCGACTCGATCCCTGCACGATGGAATTAAGAAAATCCACCTCTTACCAGTGTGCCGCCGTTTGTCATTTCGATGTAGCTTTCCATCGTGCTTTTGATTGCTACCGGATCACCTTTACTTGAACAACAACAAACTCATTCGGCAGAAAACCGTAGCTCAGCCTACGCCGACTCAACATTATTAATGTAACACGTCTGCAGTTTCATAACGAAGCGGTTTATATCGGTAGATACTCACTTCGTCGTCAGTATATACAGTACACCGAGATGGTACTTTTTATAGTATTCGTTACTGTGAAAGGGCCAATGGGCCTTTTGGATTAAACGATTTTTTTCCTGATCGCGCGCTGCGGGCTAATCAGCAGGAAGAGCTGGCCCCCTATGGTTGCAATCGGCTCGACTCTTCCACAAAGCAAGCGGTCGCCTTGCACATTAAGAAATCAGGAATCAATAAAGTTTTATTTCGTTAAATACAAAGTATGGATCTGTTTGAATATTTAATCTAACTGTTTTTCAGACTGCGGCTCATGCTGGGCAATGGGAACGACTTCGGCCCTCGCTGACAGAATAAACATTAAAAGGAAGGCGGCCTGGCCGGTCACCTACCTTTCGGTACAATACATAATCGACTGTGCCAAAGCAGGTAGTTGCCATGGTGGCAACATGTTGCCAGTGTATGAGTTCATTCATAAGAAGGGCATCGTCGACGAAACGTGTAATAACTATCAAGCTAAGGACGGAGGTAAAATTTAAAGTTGTTAGCTGATTTATTTATCATCCCATTATATAATGGGTTTATTAAGGATTAATCCCTCAAAGCATTGCAATAAAAATCAACAATAAGGTCGTACCTTTTTTTCCTTGATCCAATAAACTTTTTAATCAAGCGATGCCATGTGATTATGAACTGTGTATTTAAAGCAATAACATATTAAGTGAAAGCTAGTATTTCCTCATTCGACAATCAGACTGTATCTCAGGGAACTTCTTCAAAGTAAGGCTCTATCATAAAGCTTATGGCCGTTCACCCATCCGAGATTACTGTTCGAGACTTCAGTATGGGGAGGACGTCATTTTATGCGCTGGAAGCCGTAGAGACTGATGCTATTTTCATTTAAAGTGGAATGAATGCTACAAGCAAGAAACAGGTGCAAATTCTAAGAAGCTAAAATCCTATGATCATGCAACACGATTCTTTAGGCATTGTTGTCGGTCGAAACTAAAATTATCCATCATTGAACCAGTTACATTGTCTTCTTCCGTGAGTACGTTGTTTCACGTATTCAAATTATTGAATGGGTTCGATGTCCACGTCCAATGATCAAACTAATAAGTTTATGCATATCAGTCCAAAGAAACGTGGCATCGTGGGAGACATGAACAACAATTAAAAGCCGTTACTTGAAATATCTGCATCCTGTTTAAGTGGGACTAGGAATAATAAAGCTCAGAGATTTCTTTATTCTTGTCAAAGGGATCATAAATCTAACCCGTGATGCCTGCGAGATTGGTGGATAGCTCGAGCTATGAAAAACCTTCTAAAGCTGCTACCCATCTTACAAGCAGAATAGCGGTATCTCAAAATAGTTCGATGTAGTAATTTTAAATCATGCTGCACTTGTGTTTACTTGGTTAGTGTTATATGATTATTTCCATTTTGTATATTTCACTTAACCTTACTTTTAGTTTGTGATCCCTTCGACCAGTGCGGAAACTGCGTGACATTCGGTAAATGCTATCCAGTCAAGAATTACACTTTGTACAAAGTTGGGGACTTCGGGCCCGTCAGCGGAAGGCTTAATATGAAGGCGGAAATTTTTTCCAATGGACCTATTGCGTAAGACTGAAAATTATTATCCACGTAATTTTCATCGATTTGGAAAACTCATAGTTGTGGGATTTCCGTTACCGATCCTTTCGAGATGTACAACGGTGGAATTTACTTGGAGCACAAGAAAGAACCTCAGGTATAAAATTTTCTTCATTTTTCATATTTTCTGATCGCCCTCTCTGTTTTACAGATAAACCATGTCGTGTCCATTGTCGGGTGGGGATTTGATCACGATACCGGCGTGGAATACTGGATCGGAAGAAATTCTTGGGGTTCTCCTTGGGTACGTAAATGGCTATGTGAGGTATAACCGGATTGGAGTTTCAGAAAATGTGGAATTTTAGGGTGAACAAGGATTTTTTCGGATCGTAACCAGCGCTTACAAGAATAACACCGGAAATATGTATAACCTCGCGGTTGAAGAAGACTGCGCCTATGCTGATCCAATTGTTTGACCACTTGTTTTGAGCGGTTTCTCAGTGGATAGTCAGTTGTGTTCTTGTACTGTAATGTTGACAATGTTTTTCGTTTATAAACAGGATGACAGAAAACGCCGCCATTTTTTCGCGTTTACACAACGAATGCAATCCTCAAGTATATTATCAATATGCTAAAATTATCCAATCAACTGCTGACTGTTACTTTTGTTTTTTATTAACTGTGATTTTGGGATTATTTCGTTGTTTGTAGAAATTACTAAAGTTACTCTTTGTCCCTTCCTTGTTTCTTATGAAAAACGTGAATGAAAATCAGGCTGTAGAAAATTTTGCGCCTTTGCACTCTCGCGAAAGAATACGAAATCTGCATGGATTCAGTTTCTTTCCTGAAAATCGACCTGAAAATTTACACGGATTGGATGAGGAATTGTATACCTGCATAAAATTATGATTGTGTTTTCAACCATATAGTTTTTTCATACACGGTTAGGATGCTCAAACCTACGTGAAACAATATTTCGATTTTTTTAAATATCAAACTTTCTTTACTGACGCAAAAGCGTCTTTTAAGAAGTATATTCTCACAGGTATGAATAATGACGATTGCATGAATTGCAGTTCAATTTAGCGTTGTTCCACGATAAGGTGATTATTTACTTCACCTTAGCTTTTATTTATATCAAAAGATGAGGTGTACTCCTACCATATTTTGTTTCAGTGGCAGAATATGAAGGTGTTCCAGAGATGCATAGGGAAACCACGTGCTGTGAATGTTGAAAGTGCCATCTCGGCGGTTCCCTGTTAACTGTGGACTTGGCCTATTCTGTTTGTTGCTGTTCTCGAGTTTCTCCCAAAGCAGTGTCAACGCAGGCATAAACGAAAGTTTTTCGCTTATTGGAAGGCGCATTTCAAGATAACCGATCATGTATAATATATATGTGTTAGTGTCCTTCAGAGTACTGAGGGCAGCGAGCTTCATCGCTTGATGATTTCCGTATGCAGCACAGCTGCGAAGGCGTTTTTCGATCTCAACGCCAAGAAGACCAGATTTATGACGAACACAAAAGGCGCAGTTGATTCACAAATGGAACACAGAGAGGTAAATAGCTTCAAGAAGTTGACTAATTTATGCGCCTCAGCTCCATCATCTTCAGCGATTACATGAATCAGTCAGAGTTCAAAACGAGGATCGCCCTCGCCTTGATTGCCTTTGTGAACTTGCCAAAATTTGGGAGGAGAAGCGAAAGGAGTAACCCTCCATCAAATGCCGCTTGTACCTTTTCTCTGTCGGCTCGAGTCAATGTTGTTGTAGGGCATAGAAACAGCTGTCTATCCGAAAGCGCAAACACGGCGGATTAACTGCGTGCAGAAATGTTCGCTCCTACTCATAATGACTGTTAAATGGCAAGACAATGTAAGGAGTGAAATTTTCATATTGCGGGAGCAGACAACTTCCGTAGACGAAGACATAAAAGAAGGAAGCTGACCTGTTGATGAGCTAAGCTACTCGCTCCAATTGAAGAATTTCTCGTGTGGGGTCAGAAACACTGCAGACGTCATTCAGGAAGCCAACATGGAACAACAATGCAGAAGCAAATGGTAGGGCTACTTTCAGAAAATGATTTTCACTTCCACAAGCAATACAGCAATCGATGCCTTACAAAAGTACAGGATGTGATAAAACGCATAGATTCTGCTTGTATTGACGGCTCATGGTGATGATCAAACGAAATCGTACAAAATTACATGGCCTGAAACTCGTTAGCACAGGAGAGCTCTAACTTCATGACCTCACGCAATCGCACATTATAACCATATGATAAAATGGAAGTCTTCGAAACTCGCAGATCTGCTAGGAACATCGCATTGTGCTTACAGATAGATTTTAAATGACTTGACGGGTTAAACCGAATACTTTATACAGATGGTCATCTATTAACTACACAGATTCAAACCTGTTATGCACGAGGTTGCGCGATGATATCACGGATCTACGCTGAAACAACACCTGCCAAACCGTTATGGGCCTTTATGGCAGTCCCATCTATGAAGAATCTATTAGGTTTTGCATTTTTAATTATTTATCTCAATTTCGCGGTCATATAGGTTTAAAACTGGTATTCTGGCACGGAGATATGTTGTTGTCCAGTCAGTTGGCCAGCGGATCTGCCTTGGTGTAAAATTCACAGTCATGAGCTGTTTTCTGTCCGTTGCTGAATGAATGCTCCTCCAAGACCTTGCCACAAACTTGTGTTTTCTGTGACTTGTGTAGGAATGTTTGTGTGAAAGTATCTGTTTCCTGCTAATGGCAGGGGAACAGAGGCCAACACCGTCACCGAATCACGGACAAATCGTTTCTCACTGCCCAGTGTCGAAATTTTAGCTTTTATAGGGAAAGCACTGTCGTATATCCACCGTTTCTCGGTAATCTCTTCACCCTTCCCGACACTCTGTCCATATATCAGAGCAGCCAATGAGACCGTGTCGCTGCAATTACTGACGAAAAGCCGTAATTGAAGGAACAGTTGTTCACAAGAAGGTCAGCTGAATTAAACAACCAGTCGCCACCAGTGTCCCGTTACGGTAAGAGCGTGCCCTGAACGAACGACAACGTCCCAACGAAGCACTCTTAAAGTTAATGGACGATTTACAGTCATCATGTGTCTCAAAATGCCCGTCAAGTTCAGGTTGGGTTGCTTGAGAAAAAAACCGAATGACACCTTCATATACTTTTGAAGTGCGACGCCATTGGACGATCGGCCGGTTGAGCACGCCTCTGATTTGATGAATTTCAGTCAAAGTACTTGCCGACTTCTTACGCGTTCGATCGGCCTACACTGAGTGATGTCGGAATATGCGTTACTAAAGCCTCG